TGGTTCTCGAGCCTTTCTGCTACTTTGAGCTCAATTTCAAGTTACTTTGTCCTGAAACCAGTCAAAATCATGTCTTTTTTTTGTAAATATATCAAACATTCTATCAAGTGAGAACTAGAAACTGAGTGTACAACCTTGAAAACCATATGAAAACACACAGCAAAGTTGCCATTGTAATCCAAAAGCACAGTCACAGTTTTTTCCCATTATGTTCAGCATGCTGCAGGATTTTTTTAATTGTGCACACGTACCACATAGACCCATTTTTTCATATCTAGGCCCAAATTTACTGCTCGAAGCTTATCTGGGTGAGCTGAGCTCATGGCATAGAACTATGGGACCGACCCACACTTCAAAGCAGTAGTAATGTGGAACCCACCCCGAAATGGTTAAAAGAAATGTTGTAAGACATAAACAAGTGTTAGGAGAGAGAGTACATGTAATGAGGGGGTGTTTGAAGTATAGGATAGATTTAAAAATGCAGTGTTAGCGTGCCACAGAAGTTTGTGGGGTGAAGATGAGAAGGGAAGTATTCGGGGGAATGTTGCAGTAGTGGGTAGTAAGGGAGAAAAGATTAGTGTACAAGAGATTTTTACAATGTAGAAGTACTGTGTGGAGGGCAGAGTATATGAAGAGGTTAAAAGTGGTGGAGAGCCACTGAAAGAGAGGCTTAATCATCAATTTTTGCTAAGAATAAGAAATTTTGAAGTGAGAAATTGAGAAAAGCCTTGGAATAAATTGATTTACCATTTAAAAATAAAATAGGAGAGATGTTAGATGGAGAGAAGGTACTGGGTTGGAGAGACATGAGGAATTCTTAAGTGTTGAAGAAAGGGAGGCAGGGATTTCATGCATTTGACAGGGAGCATTAGCATTTTGTAGGAGTAAGGAAGAATCAAATTTGAGTTTGGAGGAAATACGAGATATAGTGGATATAATGAAAAGCATTAAAGCATCTGGTTCAGATGAGATTAAGACAAATGTTAAAAGAAGCTGGGGAATATAGTTTTGTAGGGGTTGGTGTATTCATTCATGTATGCATGATGAAAGGGAAGATACCTAAGGATTGTTATAAAGTTTGTGTGCGTGGGGATGATGGCTAAGTTTGAGTTGCCTTTAGGTCAGCAACACCTGACCTGTGGAGTTCATAATCTGGCACTGCCTGTAGGCATCTGTGAGACAGGACATGCTGACAGACGACACACCATACTTATCAATAAACCTGGGCGGAGCAGTTGTGTACTATTCCAATGCCACCATTTGTGTTACTCAAACCCATCCACAAACTTGGTGGCTGTTGTGGCGAAATTCTCACAAATTTGGGTGAATTTTGTGGTGTGAAGTGGGTGTACATGCATTCATATATGTATACATTGATTTAATATACGGTAGTACCTCAAGTTACGAACATAATTCGTTCCAGAAGGCTGTTCGAGTGCCGATACTGAACGAATTTGTTCCCATAAGGAATAATGTAAATTAGATTAGTCCATTTCAGACTCCAAAAAATACACTTACAAAAGCACTTAGAAAAATACACTTAGAGTTAGGAGCTGTTCGAAACAAAAGGTGCCACTATATATACATTAATATATAAATAAGCGTATGGCTTACAGAGGAAGAATACTCTTCTACATCCCCATGGAGCCAGGGACTAGTAACCCCTTCTGTATAAATTAAATGTAAAAAGAAAAGCTTAATTTTTTTTTCTTTTTAGGTCACAGTACCTCGGTGGAAGATGGCCAGTGCATTGAAAAAAAATTAAATATGCATAGACATTCATATAGATGTGTATTGATATGGATATATACATTCATTCATACATATGCATACATATACACAAAATCCGCACAAAGGAGAATGAAGCTTACAACATTGTTTCTAGACGTACATACAGGCGAATTAAAACTGAATGGGGAGGGAGGTTTTGTAATAGTTGGTGCCTTTACCAAGTGTCATTGGAGTGAACAGGATTAAGAAATTTTTGGGAAATGTCAAGAGTTGCGCTAGATTTGTTAATTAATTTCCAGTGTTCCCTCCAGGGCAACAAACATCTGTGTGTTATGGTAGACCATTTCACCAGATATTGTGAGCGAGTTACTATTGCAGATAAGACTGCCAAGACAGTAGCTAAAGCGTTTAAAGAACGCATTATCTGCAGGCATATCACCCCTAAGTCCCTGGTAACAGATAATGGAGGTGAATTCTGTAATGAGATTCTTGAAAATTTGTGTACCTTGTACAAGATCTCTAAATCCACCATTGCTCCTCATCATCCTGCCAGCAATGGGTTAGCAAAACGAACCAGTAAGAAAGTACTTGATGTCTTGAGAGCCACTATCAATCCCAACAGTGAAACTTGGGATGAAGTTATACCTGATGTGCAGTGTGCTATAATTTCTGCTTACAAAGTTTCTATAGGTGACACTTCCACATTATGCATTGTACGATGTAGATAAACGTTTGCCTTATTTTTTTTTTTTTTTCTTCAACAAGTCGGCCGTCTCCCACCGAGGCAGGGTGACCCAAAAAAAGAAAGAAAATCCCCAAAAAGAAAATACTTTCATCATCATTCAACACTTTCACCACACTCGCACATTATCACTGTTTTTGCAGAGGTGCTCAGAATACAACAGTCTAGAAGCATACACACATAAAGATACACAACATATCCCTCCAAACTGCCAATATCCCAAACCCCTCCTTTAAAGTTCAGGCATTGTACTTCCCATTTCCAGGACTCAAGTCCGACTATATGAAAATAACCGGTTTCCCTGAATCCCTTCACTAAATATTACTCTGCTCACACTCCAACAGATCATCAGGTCCCAAGTACCATTCGTCTCCATTCACTCCTATCTAACACGCTCACGCACGCTTGCTGGAAGTCCAAGCCCCTTACCCACAAAACCTCCTTTACCCCCTCTCTCCAACCCTTTCGAGGACGACCCCTACCCCGCCTTCCTTCCCCTATAGATTTATATGCTTTCCATGTCATTCTACTTTGATCCATTCTCTCTAAATGACCAAACCACCTCAATAACCCCTCTTCTGCCCTCTGACTAATACTTTTATTAACTCCACACCTTCTCCTAATTTCCACACTCCGAATTTTCTGCATAATATTTACACCACACATTGCCCTTAAACAGGACATCTCCACTGCCTCCAACCGTCTCCTCGCTGCTGCATTTACCACCCAAGCTTCACACCCATATAAGAGTGTTGGTACTACTATACTTTCATACATTCCCTTCTTTGCCTCCATAGATAACGTTTTTTGACTCCACATATACCTCAACGCACCACTCACCTTTTTTCCCTCATCAATTCTATGATTAACCTCATCCTTCATAAATCCATCCGCCGACACGTCAACTCCCAAGTATCTGAAAACATTCACTTCTTCCATACTCCTCCCCAATTTGATATCAAATGATTTAGATAAAGTTTGCCTTATGAGTTGCTATATTCTAATCCAAAACCAAATTATAACCCTGATGATTTCATAGCAACTCGTACCAGCCTAGCTCAAAGCATCTTTAGAAGAATCCGTGAAACACTTCATAAATCAACAGCAGAATTTACAAGATTCGCTGACACTTGAGCAATGCCATCCAAAATCAAAGTAGGTTTGAGAGTTATGCTGACTAACTTTAACAAAATGTCTGCAATGCCTAAGCTTGATAAGTTTGTTGGTCCTTATCGAGTAGTTGAACATATCACTGGCCACATGTATAAGGTTAGAGAAATTAGTACTGGTCAGTATAAAGAATCACATTTAGATCATATGAAGTTAGTATGTAATGGTAATGATGTTCCAACCCAGACTAATGTGACACACTGACAATCCTCCTGATCCTGTACTCTCTACCTCTGATACTCAGAAGATCAATCTGAATGCTGTTATTCCCTACGTGCACGACAGGTATTGAGAAATCCTCAAGTATCATTTGTAACTACCAATTCAGATTTGCCTCAAATACAGCATGAGTTAGCCAGTGCAACAGAGTTTGATCCTCCCAGTGATGACACCCATTCTGCATATGTCAATCTCACCCTAGCAGAGTTGGGGTTAAATGTAAATAACTTGTATAGATGAATAATTACTGTCAACTTACTAATATTCACAATTTTTTTTTTTGTGTGTGTGTTCACGTACTCTCCGAATTCTTAGATTTAAGTGCACCAAGTCTGCCTTTTTGTTAAACACTTCTTTCTTTATATATATTTCTTCCTCAGAATCCGTAGATCATGTGAATACAGATTGATCGATCGATCGATCAAATTTTTTATCACTTCTATTGTGTAATCCCAATGTTGTCTCATTTTATGAGCTGTGCTATATCATACCTTGTAATGCATTACAATTTCATTACAGTCAGTTACATTAGCTTCCATTCCAATGTTCTACTTACGTATGTCATAATGTTCAATTGTTGTGTACTTTGACATTGTATAGAATCAGCCCAAGCCGTACGCCTGCCTTCTCTAGTTTGCATTACCTGTATGTCGGGACGACATACGTTAGCGTCGCCGAGCTCTCGGTAGTATCATTTCCTAGTTAACAGGAACCAGTTACCAGTAGTATGACTCATTACCAACCGTCTGTGTGAATCACTGTTATTCACTGATGTTACAGCTGGGCATAGCATGTTTTTGAACGGCGCTCACCCTTAGGACCCAATTCTTGAGTCAGTCTTAGAGTTAGCAGAGAGGCAGGCCAGGCGTGGTGCTCCCCATATTTTCCCTCCTATATACGTACTAACCAGCCTACGTGAGTGTTCTTACCCAATCTACGTTTCGAACCCCCACGTGACAAAATGTCTCAATTTTGTTGGCTTAATATTGTCACCACAGCCATTAAAGTTTATGATGGATTCATTTTCAATAGTACTGTGAACATATGCAAAAGGTTTATGGGACCACAGAGTAAAAGGATTAGTGGAAGAAATAATTACTCTTTCTGCTCCTTGCATTCAAACTTCATCTTATTTCAGTAATTGGTCGTGGTGGTGAACAGATAACTCGGTTGCAGCGAGAATCTGGAGCAAAAATTCAAATGGCGCAGGACAGTGGAGGACTGCCAGACAGATTATGCACTATATCGGGGCCAAGGTAATTTTTTCTCCCTGCATGTCAAGAGGGGGAAATGTTTGAATTTTCATGGCTGCCCAGATTCTTTAAAGAAATATATGGGATTTTTTTCCATTTGAAGGTCTGATAACTTTGATATGCCTCTCTTAATCTTAGTTTTATTTATTGCAGCACGAATTCTTTTCCAGTATACATAGTGATCATTCTTAATTTGCCAAGTTTTCTGTGTTGTATGTAAAATAAAAAGTTACCTTTGTCAATTTTTGGTGTATTAAACTTAATTTTTCAGGTCTTCTCAAGAGATATTGAATATTTAAAATTTGTCTTGTAGCACTGTGTAAAAAGAAAACCATGAAGATTTCTCATACTTTTGTAGCTTTAACCCTTTCAGGGTCCAAGGCCCAAATCTGGAGTCACGCACCAGTGTCCAAGAATTTTCCAAAAAAAAATTTGTTATTTTTTCTTATGAAATCGTAGAGAATCTTTTTGTGAAGGTAATAAAACAAAAAGTACGAAATTTGGTGGAAAATTGACGAAATTATGCTCTCGCGAATTTTGATGTGTCAGCGATATTTACGAATCGGCGATTTTGCTGACTTTGACTCCCATTTTAGGCCAATTACATTATTCTAATCAACCAAATTCTTAGCTATTTCACTAGTATTACTTCTATTCTATCGATTGAGCACAAGAAATCGCCAAGTCAACTGTTTCAACTACAAAATAAAGTGATAGGAAATTGTTAATTTGGCCAATTTAACACAAAGTTCAAAATATTCCAATTTCAAAATAGGGTCCAGAATAAACAATGTAGGAATTCCTGGCACTAAACTAACATTTCCTCTGTTCATTAGTTATGTTTTGAGGCTTTACAAATAAATTCCATTCTGATTTTTTATTCACATAATGAATTTTTATTCACACCAAAAAATAGAAGATTTACTGTTATGCAATACTGTAATAATTGTATAAATATCATCACCATATTTGTGAATATATATTAGACCCACCAGCTGACGTGTATTAGACGTGTGAGGTCGTTTGTTTACTCTTGAATATCGGCAAAAATTTAACATTTCCGCTACTTTGAGCTCAGTTTCAAGCCATTTCCAGTGCTAAAACCAATCAAAATCATCTCTATTTCTGTAATATGTCTCCCATTCTATCAAATGAGACCAAGAAATCACAATTACAACTATAAAAACATACGAAAAAACACTGCAAAGTTGCTGTTTTAATCGAAAAATCATGATTTCAGTTTTTTTCTCTCATGATACACAGTGTGCTGCAGGATCTGTTTTATGTAGTGCACACATACCACATAGATGTATTCTCTCATATCTAGGCCCAAATGTACCACTCACAGTTTATCAGAGTGAGCTGAGCTCATGGCGTAGATCTACGGTTTGGACACTCACCATAAAGCCGTAGATCTACGGGACGGACCCTGAAAGGGTTAAAGTTTCTGGAGAATATTAGAACATTAAATAATAATAGGTGGCCAAAACAGGTTTTACATAATAGTAAAAAGTCAGGCTCAGTTTAAAGCTTTTTACATGAGCTTTTGATAATGATAGAAAAAATAGAAGAGCTTGACTCACAAAATTGTTATAACATAATTGCAAAGAGTTGCAGAAGAGTTTAGGATGGCAATAATAGACTGCTGTTGACTTCATTATTTGGTGTAATTTTATCAGCAGTTGTCTACATCTTCTAAGTTCACAATCTGTAGACATGATTTTTAATATTCAGTAATGTTATGCAGTTCTGTAATTTACACTTTTTGAACTAAAAATTATTTTATCTTTAAAATGTAAAATAACTATATTACTTAACCAATTCTTATTAATTTTTTTTTTCCAGGGATGCCATTAATCGTGCTAAGGAGATGATCTTCGAGATTGTCTCTCGAGGAGATGGGCCTCCTGATAGACGAGGCCGTGGAGGAATGGGTGGTGGTGGCGGTGGTGGCCCTATGGGACCTCCAGGCATGGATATGGGGGGAAATGCATCTACTGTTGAGATTAGCATTCCTGGTCCAAAAGTTGGACTCATCATAGGTAAGGTTGAGTAGATTCATTGACAAGCTTTGTACCAACCAGTTGCTTATTTATTATAAAAATTAATGTACTAACATTTTTATAAAAAATATAACAGTTTATGAATGTTATTGTAAGTTATGATCTTTCAGGCAAAGGAGGAGAGACCATTAAGCAGTTGCAGGAGAAGTCTGGAGCAAAAATGGTAATTATTCAAGATGGGCCACAACAAGAAAATGAAAAGCCCCTTCGTATCACTGGAGAACCCCACAAGGTAAAAAAAAAAGAAAAAAAGAAAAAAAAAAAAAGGCTTCTGCATATATTGTAAAAGCTAATTTGTATTTAGAAAATTTGTATAGACATGATAGTTGATTTGCCCCATTTCATTTGCTGATAATGGCTCACCTGTGTATTTTTTGTTTCTTAGGTCGAGATGGCCAAACAATTAGTGTATGACCTTATAGCTGAAAAGGAAACACAGGCTGCTCAGTTTGGTAATCGTGGCCGTGGTCGTGGTGGTAATTTTGGAGAACGTAGAGGAGACCGTGACAGAGTAGATAGAGGTGATAGGGATCGACGGGACCGTGACAGAGACCGTGATGAGTTTGGAGGCGATGAAAGGGTAAGTTGTTGTCATAAGCGTGTTACTTCTTTTTATCATTTGATGAGCCTTTAAAATATAAAATTTAACTAGACAGTGAATAAACATTGCCTTAATTAATAATTACACAATTGAAGTTTTATTTATCCTAATTATTGAATCTCTTAATCCTTCGAGGGTCCGGGCCGTAGTTCTATGCCTTGTCCACAGGGTCCGAGAATTTTCCAAAAACATTCTTTTTTTCTTATGAAATACTAGAGAACCTTTTTATGAAGGTAATAAAACAAAAAGTATGTAATTTGATGGAAAATTGATGAAATTACACTCGCAAATTTTATTGTGTCAGTGATATTTAGCATTGGCGGTTTTCCCAATTTGACTCCTATTTTAGGCCAATTATATTATTCCAGTCAACCAAATTCTTAGCTATTTTACTAGTATCACTTCTGTTTTATCGAGTAAGCACATGAAACTCCCCAATCAACTATTTCAGCTACCCAATAAAGTGATCAGAAATTGGTAATTTGGCCATTTTCAGACAGTTCAAAATATTCCAATTTCAAAATCGGGTCCTGAATAAACATTGCAGGCATTCCTGGCACTAAAATAACATTTCCTTTGTTTATTAGTTTCCAGGCTTTATAGATGAATTCCATTTTTATTTTTTATTCATTTATTCACGCCAAAAACAAAAAAATTGAAGATTTACTGTTATGCAACATTGTAATAATTGTATAAATATCAGCTCATTCCTGAATGTGTATTAGACCCACCAGTTGACGTGTATTGGACTCGTGACTTCATTTGTTTACTCTTGAACATTGGCAAAAATCAAACATTTCTGCTACTTTGAGCTCAGTTTCAAGCTGTTTTCAGTACTAAAACTTATCAAAATCATTTCTGTTTTTGTAATATATCTTCCATTCTGTCAAACGAGACCAGGAAACTGTGAATGCAACTGGAAAAACCACACGAAAATACACCGCTAAGTCGCTGTTTTAATCCATAAACATGGTCAGTTTTTTTCTCGTGCACAGTGTACTGCAGGATTTGTTTTATGTGGTGCACACTTACCACACAGATCCATTCTCTCACACCTAGATTCAAATTTACTGCTCACAGCTTATCTGAGTGAGCTGAGCTCATAGCATAAAACTACGGCTTGGATCCAGGCTTCAGAGCCATAGAACTACGGGATGGACTCTCGAAGGGTTAAACTACCAGTCTAATGGTTATTCATTTTTGGATATAAAAATTATCTGAAGTTTTGGTTTTATCAAATTTAATTTTTTTTTAAGTTGACTAACATGGTTTATCTCATAATGACAAAATTTATATTTTCAAAATTGTTACTATTGATATATTACAACAATCTGTTCACCAAACTGAAACTTGGTAATTTCTAAAATCTGCAGGGCTCTAACGACTTCGACCCTCAACAGGATCGCTTCGGAGGTGGCCGTGGTGGTGGCCGTGGAGGTTTTAATAATGATTGGGGTCGTGGGGGTCCTGGTGGTCCTCCAGGTGGCCCTATGGGTCGTGGTGGCTTTGGTGGGCCAGGTGGGCCTGGAGGACCAGGTGGGCCTGGTGGTATGGGAGGACCAGGAGGACCAGGTGGTCCAAGTAAGTATTTTAATGATAATTTCTTGGACAAGTAACTGCATTACAGTAAGTCACTACCTGTGATCATCCACAGTGTAAGCATAAGCATTTATGACTGGGACACTTGAAAAAAAAAGTTAAGAATGCAGATAAGAGTGTTGCAAATATTCAAGCACAAACTACTTTTTGGAATTTTTTTTCATGTACAGTGGAACCCCAGTTTTTGTCTGATCCGGTTATTGTACAATTCAGTTTTTGACCCCATTTTTCGGCGAAATTTTCCCCGTTTTCGTAGATCTGTTTGGAAATTGTCTGTACCAGATGCGTTTGCTTGACCGCGGGACACGGCTGCTCATATGTTCATGACTCAGTCTGCCTTCGTTACTCGTAGAGGGTGGTAGTGATGGTGGTAGAGGGTGGTGGTGATAAAAATACAAATATTTATTTCTCTTAAAATTGTATTGGTGGATAAAAGGTTGATGGGTAGGCTCCAGGATGTATATGTTTATAGAGGGGCAACTGATATATCGGATCATTATTTAGTTGTAGCTACAGTTAGAGTAAGAGGTAGATGGGAAAAGAGGAAGGTGGCAACAACAAGTAAGAGGGAGGTGAAAGTGTATAAACTAAGGGAGGAGGAAGTTCGGGTGAGATGTAAGCGACTGTTGGCAGAAAGGTGGGCTAATAATGTAGTGGGGGGGTTGAAGAGGGTTGGAATAGTTTTAAAAATGCAGTATTAGAATGTGAGGCAGAAGTTTGTGGTTATAGGAGGGTGGGGGCAGGAGGAAAGAGGAGTGATTGGTGGAATGATGAAGTAAAGGGTGTGATAAAAGAGAGAGAGGTAGCATATAAGAGGTTTTTACAAAGCAGAAGTGTTATAAGAAGAGCAGAGTATATGGAGAGTAAAAGAAAGGTGAAGAGAGTTGTGAGAGAGTGCAAAAGGAGAGCAGATGATAGAGTGGGAGAGGCACTGTCAAGAAATTTTAATGAAAATAAGAAAAAATTTTGGAGTGAGTTAAACAAGTTAAGAAAGCCTAGGGAAAGTATGGATTTGTCAGTTAAAAACAGAGTAGGGGAGTTAGTAGATGGGGAGATGGAGGTATTAGGTAGATGGCGAGAATATTTTGAGGAACTTTTAAATGTCAAGGAAGAAAGAGAGGCAGTAATTTCATGCACTGGTCAGGGAGGTATACCATCTTTTAGGAGTGAAGAAGAGCAGAATGTAAGTGTGGGGGAGGTACGTGAGGCATTACGTAGAATGAAAGGGGGTAAAGCAGCTGGAACTGATGGGATCATGACAGAAATGTTAAAAGCAGGGGGGATATAGTGTTGGAGTGGTTGGTACTTTTGTTTAATAAATGTATGAAAGAGGGGAAGGTACCTAGGATTGGCGAGAGCATGTATAGTCCCTTTATATAAAGGGAAAGGGGACAAAAGAGACTGTAAAAATTATAGAGGAATAAGTTTACTGAGTATACCAGGAAAAGTGTACGGTAGGGTTATAATTGAAAGAATTAGAGGTAAGACAGAATGTAGGATTGCGAATGAGCTAGGAGGTTTCAGAGTGGGTAGGGGATGTGTAGAACAAGTGTTTACATTGAAGCATATATGTGAACAGTATTTAGATAAAGGTAGGGAAGTTTTTATTGCATTTATGGATTTAGAAAAGGCATTTGATAGTGGATAGAGGAGCAATGTGGCAGATGTTGCAAGTGTATGGAAATAGGTGGTAAGTTATTAAATGCTGTAAAGAGTTTTTATGAGGATAGTGAGGCTCAGGTTAGGGTGTGTAGAAGAGAGGGAGACTACTTCCCGGTAAAAGTAGGTCTTAGACAGGGATGTGTAATGTCACCATGGTTGTTTAATATATTTATAGATGGGGTTGTAAAGGAAGTAAATGCTAGGGTGTTCGGGAGAGGGGTGGGATTAAATTTTGGGGAATCAAATTCAAAATGGGAATTGACAGTTACTTTTTGCTGATGATACTGTGCTTATGGGAGATTCTAAAGAAAAATTGCAAAGGTTAGTGGATGAGTTTGGGAATGTGTGTAAAGGTAGAAAGTTGAAAGTGAACATAGAAAAGAGTAAGGTGATGAGGGTATCAAATGATTTAGATAAAGAAAACTTGGATATCAAATTGGGGAGGAGGAGTATGGAAGAAGTGAATGTTTTCAGATACTTGGGAGTTGACGTGTCGGCGGATGGATTTATGAAGGATGAGGTTAATCATAGAATTGATGAGGGAAAAAAGGTGAGTGGTGTGTTGAGGTATATGTGGAGTCAAAAAACGTTATCTATGGAGGCAAAGAAGGGAATGTATGAAAGTATAGTAGTACCAACACTCTTATATGGGTGTGAAGCTTGGGTGGTAAATGCAGCAGCGAGGAGACGGTTGGAGGCAGTGGAGATGTCCTGTTTAAGGGCAATGTGTGGTGTAAATATTATGCAGAAAATTCGGAGTGTGGAAATTAGGAAAAGGTGTGGAGTTAATAAAAGTATTAGTCAGAGAGCAGAGGAGGGGTTGTTGAGGTGGTTTGGTCATTTAGAGAGAATGGATCAAAGTAGAATGATATGGAAAGCATATAAATCTATAGGGGAAGGAAGGCGGGGTAGGGGTCGTCCTCGAAAGGGTTGGAGAGAGTGGGTAAAGGAGGTTTTGTGGGCGAGGGGCTTGGACTTCCAGCAAGCGTGCACGAGCGTGTTAAATAACAAAAAGGCACAATACCGTGACTGGAACGATACACAAATAACCCGCACATAAAAGAGGGAAGCTTACGACGATGTTTCGGTCCGACTTGGACCATTGACAAAGTCACAGTGTGACTTTGTCAATGGTCCAAGTCGGACCGAAACGTCGTCGTAAGCTTCTCTCTTTTATGTGCGGGTTATTTGTGTATGAGCGTGTTAGATAGGAGCGAATGGAGACGAATGGTACTTGGGACCTGACGATCTGTTGGAGTGTGAGCAGGGTAATATTTAGTGAAGGGATTCAGGGAAACCGGTTATTTTCATATAGTCGGAGTTGAGTCCTGGAAATGGGAAGTACAATGCCTGCACTTTAAAGGAGGGGTTTGGGATATTGGCAGTTTGGAGGGATATGTTGTGTATCTTTTTATGTGTATGCTTCTAAACTGTTGTATTCTGAGCACCTCTGCAAAAACAGTGATAATGTGTGAGTGTGGTGAAAGTGTTGAATGATGATGAAAGTATTTTCTTTTTGGGGATTTTCTTTCTTTTTTGGGTCACCCTGCCTTGGTGGGAGACGGCCGACTTGTTGGAAAAAAAAAAATGTGTTGGGCTCTCGTTTGGTGGAGAAGTTGTGAAACGAAGATTTAACCCTTTCAGGGTCCGTGCCGTAGATCTACGGCTTTATGTTCATGGTCCAAACCGTAGATCTACGCCAAAATTCAAGCGGGGTCAAATTTAGTTCGAAAAGGCTTGTAGGCCTATATGAAAGAACGGGGCTGCGTGGTGTGTGTGCGCCGTAAACAAAAATTCTAGGCACCTGCATAGCATTGTGGGAATGCCAGCTCGGTTACCTCTGTTCACCATGCCTCGTCGCAAGGCAGCTCTCACTCCAAGGAAAATTGGGACTCCTCTTCCTACCTGATAGTTCTGAATGATGGAAGTGGAAATGAAGACGAATTCTTTGGCTTTGATCAGTTAGTGACTGAAAGGAATGACTAGGATATCGACAATAGTGCAGAAAACCCTGACGATCCTCAACCTTCTACCTCTGATGTAGGCACGCCTCAGTCACGTTCAGTTGTACCTCATCGCAAGAGAAAACTTACTTTTGTGTGGCCAGGCCTCTGACTTCAGTAATGATGATAATAGTGACGTGGATTGCGATTTTATTGCTCTTGACGATCTTTCAAGTAGTGATAGTGAGGAAACCTATTCACAAGTGAAGCATCAGTATATATGCTGCCGCATGCGCTTGGGTAATGTTCCCTACGTAGTGCCCAGGGTATGGAGTACATCCCGTGGCCCTACACCAGGAATAGACAGTGAAAGTGAGGATGATGTGGCTACACTTGGCATGGATAGACCACAGGCATCAGTTTGATTTTGGTGGTGATGGTGGTAGTGGTGATGGTAGTGCCACGGCCATGCATGACTCGCCAGCCCAGGCTGGGACCCACGCTGCTGACTCCTCAGTTCAAGTTCAGAGCGGAGCGTCAGCCACCAGCCCACCACAACTACCAGCACGACCAACTTATGATGTCCAGTATCCACCAGCAAACCATATCTGGGATTGGCAGCAAAATCCCAGTTTTGTTCCCAAGCCCCACCAGTTTGACGACTCTCAAAGTGGAATTCAACCTACTTGTCCCCTTGGAAACACTGCAAATGAACTGAAATTTTTTGAACTATTCTTTGACCAGCCATTGTTGGAAACTATTGTCAGGGAAAGCAACAAGTATTTTGAGTACACCATGGCAAATACGATGATATCATAGTCAAGACTACACCGGTGGAGAGAGAACTGTTGCAGAAATGTATTTGCCTTTTGCAACAATAATGCTTATGTCTCTTGTCTATAAGCATAATATAAAATCATACTGGTTTACAGATCGGCTAATTTGTACCCTGGTCTTCAGTGACATCATCGCAGTGAACAGGTTTATCTTACTGTTACGTATGTTGCACTTCTCTGACAAAACCAGGCCTGACAGAAGTGACAGGTTATACAAGATTAGAAATGTTTTGTATCTGAAACAAAAGTTCAACGTGTTCTTTTATCCATTCAAGAATCTTGTACTTGATGAGTCTTTGATTTTGTTCATAGGTAGACTGTCGTTCAAACAATATATACCGAGTATTACAACCCAGGAGTCCAAATGGCCTGTTATCCTGGGTGTAAAGGGAGCAAAATAAACACGGCAGAAAACTTTTCACTTACATTATCCTTCACCAGTTTAGAACAGAAGTTTGTACACTATAGACACTATGTTCAGCAATAGGTATTAATGCACTCCACGGTAAGCAAGGCAGAATAGAAGCCACTAGAGAGCAGA